TTTTGTAACTCAATATAACAACTTTGTTCAAATATCCACATGTACTCGAGAATACCTAACTTACTCGATTTTTTCATTTCGGGCGGCATTCACAATAAATGCATCGAAGTTCAGTCAAATTACGACCTAAGCTCGGACCACTCTCCAGTCATTGCATCTGTGAGTTCAAATTTGAATCAAACACTAACAAGTTGTCAACTTCATAATCATAAAACGGACTGGGTGTTATACAAGAATATTATTAAGGACCAAATATTTTAAAAATGCCCCTAAAATACTCAAGCGATATAGACGGCGCATTGTACGACTTTCAACAAATTTTGCAGAATGCAGTCAAAGTTTGTACTCCGCAAAATTTCGTCACCAATAAAGGGACCCTACATAACGCTAAGGATTAGGAACTAATAGCTGAGAAACGTAGGATTAAGAAAGATGGCAAACCACTCACTCGCTACAGGATAAGACTCTTTCAAAAGCTCTTGTTTTTGAATGAAAAACTCATGTCAAAAACCTTTGAAACGATTTTAACAAATTATTGCTAATTGTATAGACATATGAACCGAAATATCGGATAAATAAGATGGCGGAAGATGTAGAAGAGCCAAAATGTTGCAGTATATGTAATATTGATGTTAATGGAAAAAACATTATTGGATGTGAAGGAGAATGTAATGGTTGGTTCCACAAAAAGTGTGCGAAAGTTACTAATGAACATATAGGTTATCAGCACAAGAAAACAATATTAAATGGTTTTGTGACACATGCTCAAAAAAATGAGGTAAGATATTCGCATGAAAGTAATTGAAAGAAATAATAAGTGAGCTTAAAACTCTAAAGAATGATATTAAAATAATTAAAGATGCAATTTCCAGTTATGGTACAATATGTAAAAATAATGCAACAGAAAATAATAATAATAAAAATTATAAAAATAAAGACATAATAGACCCAATATGCCGCCAATAATTGTAAAACCAAATAATAAACAGAACAGCTATGAAACTAGAAACTATATTGAAAAAAACATAAATCCAAAAAACGTAAAAGCAAAAGTAAGATCAAAAAACAACATTAGTAGCGAGGGTTTAATAATTAAGGCCTCAACAATTGAAGAAACATAACATTAGCAGAATATAATGATACAAAAAATTGGAAGCGAATACGAAATATATGAAGAAACAAAGAAATCCGCGACTTATTATAACAAATGCTCCAAGGCAATATATGTACGGCACAGAAATAATAAATGAAATGATAGAATATAATTACAATATAAATAACACAGATCAAATTAAACTAATATACCAAAGGAAATCACGAAAAACAGAAAATTGGATACATATATCGTAACATCTGACAAACATACGAAAAATTGTTAGAAAATAATGTGAATCTAGATGTTATAACTGTCAGGCCTATGGACACAGGGCAGCAGAATGCAAAAACAAGATGTACTGTGCAAACTGTGCGGATGAGCATAACATAAGAGATTGTAAGATCAAATCTGAGAAATGCATAAACTGCACAGACGCCAATGTAAAATACAAATCAAATTTTAATACGGTGCATAATGCTAATGAAACAGAATGTTCGTGTTATCAACACAGAGTCAAATGGTAGAATGTCGACGAATTATAATGGATAAATTCAAGAAAATGAATAAATATAACAGCAATAACAAGAAAACTTAAGAAATAAAATAGATGATTTAGAAATAATTATGAATAAAAATGAAAATTGCCAAATTTTAGTATTGACAGAAACTTGGATATACCAAGAAGAAAAAGAATACTTC